TTCTAGTTGATATTTTGAAATCCAAGATGGCAGCTTAATGGCGTCCAATATCACGGGCTCAATGGAATTTTGATTCTTCAGTATTCGATGAACAAAATTAAACCAAAAAATATGACCTTAGCAAAAATCCCTGCAAATCCATTTTTTGGGACATTTCGCCCCATACTATACGTTAATGCCCCATGTTACAGCGTCTGATCTGAGGTTATTCCGAGTTCCCTCTTTATACTTTTTTTTGAGTAGGGGTTAAATTTATTTCGTTGATGAATTGCAATTGTTAAGGATTTAATTGTAATTGTTTGTTTTGGGTTTTTTAAAAAGTGGAGTCATTTAATAATTTGTCGCCCATTTGTTTCTGTTTCCCTTTACACGTTATCAAAATAAATAAGAGCCAGGGGGATGCTATGTTCTTCTTGTGCTTGTCATTGTTAGTTTGGTTTGTTGTAAACAACCAGACAAAAAGTAGTAAACACTCATGTTTACTGTTGGCTAAAATCAACACCAACAAGACATGGTTATTCGATGGCGTTGTATCTTACACGGGTGTCATAGTTATGTTTTGGACCTTACGTTTGCAGTGTTTTGGCAACTGTTTTCAGTGTAGTAACGAACGATAACGTTTGTAATTGTTTGGTCGCATCCAATTTTCAAATGTATGCATTGTTTTACCTGGCAGTTTATATTCGTTTTGGTTATGATGATGACGTCATGCTTTTTTTCGTTCCCCCATCTCCAGGTAATGAAATCTCTACTTCATTCTCATTCTTTATTAATCCCTTTCGATGGTCTAGATGTTATTCTGGACTGTACCTTGAAGAAGCTTCGTGAAGACTGTCACGTACTGACATCGTTTCCAACAGAAATAGACTTCTCCAACTTGGAACAGTCACCGATCCTAATAACCAAGCGGAAGTGACCAGGCAGCTACTCACATTCGGAATAACTCGTGTCATTCCGGACACGAAATCAAACGAGATGTGACGAATGCATTAATTCCGGTTCATCCAATCCGAACATCCCGTGCCGTCCTTCACCGCAGGTGATACGTTGTAGTCGAGCGCATTATCGGATTATACTATCGTGTCCTCTTCACCCGCATTTCGTGACAAATGGGGGTAAACATCTTCAGCTCCCTCCCCCAACAGGCCCGCCCCACCCTCGGGTTAATTGTCTAGGCAGGTGGCGCGTGGCCGAGTGAACAGACGGCCATCGGCAGTATCTCTCTGACAATGGGAATCCGAGGTTATTTCACAGATAACTCCGTTATAAAGACAAAAGTGGTATAGTGGAGCTCTTGTAACCTAATATGGTTGAACAGTGATTAGGATTACGCTTGTTTCGATGGTTTTGAATTCATTAGATCATTTTCGATTTTTTTAATGATGGGTCTAGCTGTCTGGCTTGAAATCCCATTACAGAACTGTTAAATCAAATATTTTAGTGAAAGTTCAGCCTGTGATCAATACAAAACATGTTAGCTTCATTCGACTTAAGGTAACAAAACGACATCCCTTTTTGGGTACAAGCCTCGACGAAACATTTGAAATACCACAGGCTTTCCAAGGTGAACTCGGAGTTTAAGTGAGTGAATAGACACTTTTTATTGTTTGGGTTTTTGAAAACCTTTTAATTTGTTTTTGGGTAGGGTGGTTTCGTATTCCACACGAAATATACATGCGGGATCATAGATATAAGTATAGCTTCCCGAAAGTTTAACCGCCATGGTCAGCATCAACCCTACACCAACAGTACACCTAGTCTCCTACAGTACACCCACATCCACACTGTACACTCCGGAATCCCACAGTACACCCCGGTACTCTTCAGTACACTCCGGTACTCTTCAGTACACACCGGTCTCCTACAGTACACTCCGGTCCCCTGCAGTACACTCCGGTCTCCTACAGTACACACCGGTCTCCTACAGTACACTCCGGTCCCCTGCAGTACACACCGGCCTCCTACAGTACACTCCGGTCCCCTGCAGTACACTCCAGTCTCCTACAGTACACTCCGGTCTCCTACAGTACACTCCGGTCTCCTACAGTACACTCCGGTCCTCTACAGTACACTCCGGTCCCCTACAGTACACTCCGGTCTCATACAGTACACTCCGGTCTCCTACAGTACACTCCGGTCCCCTGCAGTACACTCCGGTCTCCTACTGTACACTCCGGTCTCCTACAGTACACTCCGGTCTCCTACAGTACACTCCGGTCCCCTGCAGTACACTCCGGTCTCCTACAGTACACTCCGGACCCCTGCAGTACACTCCGGTCACCTACAGTACACTCCGGTCTCCTACAGTACACTCCGATCTCCTACAGTACACTCCGGTCTCCTACAGTACACTCCGGTCCCCTGCAGTACACTCCGGTCTCCTACTGTACACTCCGCTTCCCTGCAGTACACTCCGGTACTCTTCTGTACACTCCGTTCTCCTACAGTACACTCCGGTCCCCTACTGTACACCCCGGTACCCTGCAGTACACTCCGGTCCCCTGCAGTACACTCCGGTCTCCTACGGTACACTCCGGTCCCCTGTAGTACACTCCGGAACTCTTCTGTACACTCCGGTCTCCTACAGTACACTCCGGTCCCCTGCAGTACACTCCGGTCTCCTACTGTACACTCCGGTCCCCTGCAGTACACTCCGGTCCCCTGCAGTACACTCCGGTCTCCTACGGTACACTCCGGTCTCCTGCAGTACACTCCGGTCCCCTGCAGTACACTCCGGTCTCCTACGGTACACTCCGGTCCCCTGCAGTAAACTCCGGTCTCCTACTGTACACTCCGGTCTCCTACTGTACACTCCGGTCTCCTGCAGTACACTCCGGTCTCCTACAGTACACTCCGGTCTCCTACAGTACACTCCGGTCCCCTGCAGTACACTCCGGTCTCCTACAGTACACTCCGGTCTCCTACAGTACACTCCGGTCTCCTACGGTACACTCCGGTCTCCTACAGTACACTCCGGTCTCCTACAGTACACTCCGGTCTCCTACACTACACTCCGGTCTCCTACAGTACACTCCGGTCCCCTGCAGTACACTCCGGTCTCCTACAGTACACTCCGGTCCCCTACAGTACACTCCGGTCTCATACAGTACACTCCGGTCTCCTACAGTACACTCCGGTCTCCTACGGTACACTCCGGTCCCCTGCAGTACACTCCGGTCTCCTACTGTACACTCCGGTCCCCTGCAGTACACTCCGGTCCCCTGCAGTACACTCCGGTCTCCTACGGTACACTCCGGTCCTCTACAGTACATGCCGGTCCCCTGCAGTACACTCCGGTCCCCTGCAGTACACTCCGGTCTCCTACAGTACACTCCGGTCTCCTACGGTACACTCCGGTCCCCTGCAGTACACTTCGGTCTCCTACTGTACACTCCGGTCCCCTGCAGTACACTCCGGTCCCCTGCAGTACACTCCGGTCTCCTACGGTACACTCCGGTCCTCTACAGTACACTCCGGTCCCCTGCAGTACACTCCGGTCTCCTACAGTACACTCCGGTCTCCTACTGTACACTCCGGTCCCCTGCAGTACACTCCGGTCCCCTGCAGTACACTCCGGTCTCCTACGGTACACTCCGGTCCTCTACAGTACATGCCGGTCCCCTGCAGTACACTCCGGTCTCCTACTGTACACTCCGATCCCCTGCAGTACACTCCGGTCCCCTGCAGTACACTCCGGTCTCCTACAGTACACTCCGGTCTCCTGCAGTACACTCCGATCCCCTGCAGTACACTCCGGTCTCCTACAGTACACTCCGGTCCCCTGCTGTACACTCCGGTCTCCTACAGTACACTCCGATCTCCTACAGTACACTCCGGTCCCCAGCAGTAGACTCCGGTCCCCCACAGCACATCTTTGCCCGCACAGCAGACCTGATCCCCCATTGCACACTTGATTCCCCACAGCACACTTGATTCCCCACAGCACACCTGGGACCCCCACAGCACACCTGGGACCCCCACAGCACACCGGGGACGCCATAGCACACTCCGGTCCCCCGAAACAGCTGGGACCCCCACAGCACATATGGGACCCCTACAGCACACCCCGGTCCCCCACAACACACATGGGACCCCTTCAGCACACCCCGGTCCCCTACAGCACACCTGGGACCCCCACAGCACACCTCGGACCCCATAGCACACTCCGGTCCCCCGAAACAGCTGGGACCCCTACATCACACCCCTGTCCCCCACAGCACACCTGGGACCCCCACAGCACACCACGGTCCCCTACAGCACACCCCGGTCCCCCATAGCACACCTTGGACCCCTACAGGACACCCTGGTCCCCCACAGCACACCTGGTCCCCAACAGGACACCTGGGACCCCTACAGCACACCCCGGTCCCCCACACCACATCTCGGACCCCACAGCACACCTGGGACCCCCACAGCACACCTGATCCCCCACAGGACACCTGGGACCCCTACAGCACACCCCTTTCCCCCACAGCACACCTGGGACCCCACAGCACACCTGATCCCCCACAGCACACCTGGGACCCCTACAGCACACCCCTTTCCCCCACAGCACACCTGGGACCCCACAGCACACCTGATCCCCCACAGCACACCTGGGACCCCCACAGCACACCTGGGACCCCTACAGCACACCTCGGTCCCCCACAGCACACCTTGGACCCCCACAGCACACCTGGGACCCCGACAGCACACCCCTGTCCCCCACAGCACACCTGGGACCCCCACAGCACACCACGGTCCCCTACAGCACACCCCGGTCCCCCATAGCACACCTTGGACCCCTACAGGACACCCTGGTCCCCCACAGCACACCTGGTCCCCAACAGGACACCTGGGACCCCTACAGCACACCCCGGTCCCCCACAGCACACCTGGGACCCCACAGCACACCTGATCCCCCACAGCACACCTGGGACCCCTACAGCACACCCCGGTCCCCCACAGCACACCTGGGACCCCATAGCACACCCCGGTTCCCCATAGCACACCTGGGACCCTCACAGCACATCTTGGACCCCCACAGCACACCCCGGTCCCCCACAGCACACATGGGACCCCCACAGCACACCCCGGTCCCCCACAGCACACCTGGAACCCCATAGCACATTCCGGTTCCCCACAGCACACCTGGGACCCCCACAGAACACCTGGGACCCCCACAGCACACCTGGAACCCCATAGCACATTCCGGTTCCCCACAGCACACCTGATCCCCCACAGCACACCTGGGACCCCCACAGCACACCTGGGACCCCTACAGCACACCTCGGTCCCCCACAGCACACCTTGGACCCCCACAGCACACCTGGGACCCCCACAGCACACCCCGGTCCCCCATAGCCCACCTGGGACCCCCACAGCACACCCCGGTCACCCACAGCACACCTGGGACCCCCACAGCACAGTTGGGACCCCCACAACACACCTGATCCCCAATAGCACACCTGGGACCCCCACTGCACACCAGGGACCCCATAGCACACCTTGGTCCCCACAGCACACCTGGGACCCCTACAGCACACCCCGGTCCCCAACAGGACACCTGGGACCCCCACAGTACACCCGGGACCCCTCACGAAACGCAAAACCATGTAAACCATGTTTGAATTAAACAGTGAAATATATTCACTGAAGAAAAAAGTTAAATGATCATCACATATGTTGAATCTCAAGAACTGGTTATAATTCTTATGACAAACCCCGAAACAAAGTCAACACAATTGTCTGTAACCGAGAACCTGTCCCACGTCATCAATCAGACTAAGGGCGACAACTCTCAGTAACTGTCCACCGCGTTACGTGCTAGAAGTATTTACATAACATTGCTAGCATCATACGCGAGCTGCCTTCCTTCCGGGGTGGTCTTATGCGTCTCGCTAATAGCTGCTATTACCGGCCATTGTGTCGCGTGGCTTGTGTACATATTCTTTCGCCTTTTTCTTGATAAAACGTAGATAGATCAGTTCTTAGAGAGAAAATGGCGCTGATTTCGATGGCCGAACAAAGACCCGGGGCAGATCAGGATGATTTATGGCCGTACGCCTTTCCGGCTATCATTTTTGTATATCAAATCACGGTAAATGCGCCACTTTCCGTTCTCAATGTGTAAGGTAGCCAGCGAAGGCTCTTAACTGTCAGTCGTTTGTATGCACAATCGCGCCGAGCCGTTCGCGTAGTGTCAAATTTCGGGCCAATATGTCTAGGTACAAACTTAGGCCCAGCTAAAGGCACTTACGGGCATTGATTTTTCATTAAGTATATTTCGACATGTCATTTTCCCCAAAGGATAGGAGAGCAGTTTCAATAGCCTTGGTTTACCTTCGCCAAATTTTGTCGCCACAGTGTTTACCAGCCATACGGACTGGTGTAATACAACACCAGCTTGGCATAGGGCTGGCCGTTGGTGTTTGCGAAATAATTAATTACATCAAGGGAATCGCCAAGGTAATTTTCAAGCTGTTTACATACTTTACTTTATGTGCCAAAATTCGAAGTGTGTTAGAGATGTTATCGCAAATGATAGACACATCAATATCACGCGGCGAAGAAAATTGAAAGCGTTTTTCACTCTTATAAGCATGGCGTCATTTAAATGTATGTGCGAATATAGATTATATGTTTTACGTGCCCTCGTGAATATTTTTCACAGCCACCGCGGCAAAATGTAAAATTATTGACGACTTTCGATAACGATTGAAAAGAAAAATCAAATTTTTACAACGAGCACTGTTTGTTTTCTTGTTAGAAACTGTGCCTGTTATCCTTGTTGATTAGAAAACATTGTTTTGTTGGAAAATACTCATGGCCGGTCGATGTACTGCGGATTGAATAGCTAAGAGACATAATAGCTGAATGTAGCGTCAATGATACGTGATACGCGTGCATTAAGACTCTGGATAGTGTTAACAGGATTCAATATTTTGGAAGTAGTTTTATCAGGTTCGCTGGCGTTGCAGCTAAACCTACACGATATGTCCTGTTGTTCTGAATGGGTGAATGGCGATAGTTTAACGCGCATTCATATTCAAGAGTCAATAGTTTTCAGAGCAAAAATGCCACCCTAACGTAGATTGATATTAAATAAAACACTTTTGTGCTTGAAACTTTATGAGTCATGGATTCTATGCCACTCACTGTCAAGCGTCTGTGAGAGCACTGATAATCTACCTGCCAGTCGCTGTTCGCTTTCCTTCCACATTGGGCGTCTGCGCGATGTAACTGAAATACTGTTCAAAGCGGTTTTAACTGTTCGAAGCGTTACTCACTCAGTGTTCCCGGCCTTTCGAGCTAGTGTGAGAGGAAATCCCACAGTGGCGCAGGTTGCAGAGTGTTGGATTCGAATGTACGAACAGCGGATCCTGGCATGACTAAGGGACGCAACACTATTAGTTTGGTTGGTTTGTTGTTTAACGCCGCACTCAGCAATATTCCAGCTATATGACGGCGGTCTGTAAATAATCGAGTCTGGAGCAGACAACCCAGTGATTAATATCATGAGCATCGATCCACGCAGTGGGGATCGATGACAAGCATCAACCAAGTCAGCGAGCCTGACCACCTGATCCCGTTAGGACAAGCATAGTCGCCTTCTACGGCAAGAATGGGTTGCTGAAGACCTATTCTACCCCGGATCTTTACTAAATAGCGAATTACGCGTCTGGACTATACGAGCTCTTGATAAGTTTGTATTTCCAGAGCGATATTCAGCATACCCTGCCGATAACAGAGAACTGGAGACAAAGTTCCAGCGTTGATGTTGGTCGCTGTACGGAGTTACGTCCCTTAGGCGTGTCGGGATCTTATGATCGTGCGTTTGAAAACCAGATTCGCCATGATTAAGATCATTGAAACAACAGGAGAGAAATGTGACTCAACTGTCAGCGCCAAGAAGGTTATCAAAGGTTGAATTTCAACGTTAACAAAGATACAATTATGGATAGCAACTTCTTTATTTTACTGTATCAGCGATCTTTGGTATAGATCCTTATACTGTTGTCAAGCAAGGATTGACAAAAATATAGTTGTTATCCCTTAATTTTGTCTGCTTTGTCATCCATCAAGTTATAAAAAATGCCACTGAAACAAATCAAATTTAATGTCGTACGACGGATGGTTGCGAAGCTACTGTTCAGAGATGGGCAGCGGAGTTCAAGAGTGAGTGAGTGAGTGAGTTGGGTTTAACGCCGCTTTTACCAGTATTCCAGTTATATCGCGGCGTGTCAGCTTAATGTGGGAGGAAAGCCCGAAGTGATGCAGGTCTCAGACGTTTACCACTTCGGTGAAACCCACGAGCACGGGTATGATGCTAACAAACTTAGAAACACAATCGGGGCGAACCTGGATTCGAACCCACAATCATAGGTTTCTGGCATACCCAAGGGACGCAACTCTGCACAGCGAATCGCGGCGCCTTGGACGACTGGGCCACCCGTGTCCCCGCGGAGTTCAAGAGAGGAAGAGGAGATGAGGGCGCCTAGATGATGACCGAATATCAGGGAGACCTTCAACTGAAAACATATACTACATGATGTGATTATGGATAATCGACGACTGACCACAAGTCACATGGTCAATACAATAGGCATCGGTCACGAGAGAGTTGAGAATATTCTTAAGAATGAACTGGGCATGACAAAAATTTCGGCACGCTGGATCAGAAACGCTCCAGGTTAAGCATCTCTTTTGAGAATGTACGTCATTTCGAAGCAGACCCAGCTGGTTTTCTTGAGCGATTTGTAACCATGGACGAGCCTTGGGTTGACCACTATAGGCCAGAGACTAAAGAACAGTCAAAGAAATCTAACTTCTCCGACGACGAAGATGGCAAATCTGTTTTATCAGCTGAAAAATGTGATGGCTTCGGTTTTCTAGGATTCCTACTGGTTGATTACCTTCGAAACGGTCAGACCATGTGTGGCCATTATTATGCTAATCTGCTAAGGCGACTGTGAGCGAATATCAAGGCTAAACGGCGTAGAAAGCTAACTAAAGGTGTGTTGTTCCACGATCATTCTCCGTATACACCAGATTTGGCACCGTCAAAATCTCACCTCTTCTCAAACCTGAAGAAAGAAATGTCTGGCAAGCATTATGCAAATGATGATGACGTTACTTCTGCTGTGGAGGGCCTTTTACGTCACCAGGAGGAAGCCTTCAACACCAGTGGGAGGGATCCAGGCACTCCAGCATCGTTGGCAGAAGTGTGTTAAACCCGGAGGGGATAATGTTGAATAATTAGAAACCACCACCATCATAATTAGTGTCAGAACATTTCAGCCTCCTCGTATCAAGGATCATTTCATAAAACAGGAAGACAATGTAAACTTTGCTTTTGTAATGGCTGAATAGTGCGTTCTTTCCGCGAGTAAAGGACCCGTGAAGATCCGGGGTAGAATAGGTCTTTAGCAACCCATGCTTGCCGTAAAAGGCGACAATGTTTGTCGTAAGAGGCGACTAACGGGATCGGGTGGTCAGGCTCGCTGACTTGGTTCCTCATATTAACAACCACTGGTTTGTCTGGCCCACACTCGACTGCTTACAGGCCACAACGAAATAGCTTAAATATGACTGACTGCGGCGTAAAACAAGATTCACATCAGTTGTCAGACCAGAATTGATTTTTGTACAGGTGGTCGTGATGTAAGCAGTACTTTTGCTCACTTATTTTGCTGACCGTAGCGTAAATTTATATTTTCTCACGGATTTAGGACAAAGACTTTTGTGTCCCTGGATGAATTAGAAGGTCCAAGAGACGTAACGCATTGACGTTTTCTGCGTGTGCCATGGCTGAAAAATGAACATGGCTGCATTAATCTTGTGAAAAGTTAAGTTTTATCTTATATGAATATTCCGTCTCGTAATTTTATGCTTCCATTTGAAGGGCGGTTATGTTTATTATGTAGTATTAATAGAAAATTGAGCTTGTGTTGACTTTTGTATTGTCGCAGTTACTGTTTAACGGTGTATATTTTGGCGTTTAACGCTGGTTGTGGCGTCGAGGTGACGGTGGCGGTTGCCAACTTCTGCTCGATTGCAGTAAGTTGAATTTAATGTTCTTTGAACAGCATTACAGTTGTATTCGTGGGACAAATGCCCGGCATGAAGCAGGCGTTAGGCGATTGCAACCTATGATGCTGACAAGCAAAGGACCATACTCAGAGATTCCAACCATCGAACATCGGATCCTGGCACGACTAAGGGCAATTGTAGCGCCTTAGATGACTGGGTAGCCTGTGTGTCCTGTGTCCACAAAATGGTCACAGCGCTGCGTTACTCCCAGTATAAGACTCCAGACATCCGTAGGATTAACATTTCTTTGTTAGAAGATCTATTTTGGAAGGGTTGGTTACGAAGAAGATAGTTCTTTAAAAAACGAAAACACACACACACACACACACACACACACACACACACACACACACACACACACACACACACACACACACACACACACGTGCATGCACGCCCCTACTTAAGTGTAATGATCTTGAACGCGCCGTTGAACCCCATTTCCCCACCGTATAAATTAATCTTCTTGTATTAAATTTTGTACACGTTTCCAGTATCCAAATATGTTAACCAATATAAGTATCACGCGAGG